TTAGTTCAAAGTAAGATAGTACTAGGAGGGGACAGAAGGAGAAGGAGGATTCACTCCTTCAGGAATACAAGTGTCATGCCTCCCATATCTATCTCAATCTCTCTAACCATTTTTTCTATCTTCTTATTCATTTCTTTTTCTATGATTTTCCCTAGTCTGTCCACCATGTCTTATTGCATTTTTAGCTGTTTTGTTCTCATTTTTTATTTCTAATGTGACTTTCCTCTCCATGCTTATACATTTTTCTTTCATTTCTTTTTTGAGAACTGCAAGCCTATTTTTCATCTCTTAGGTGGGCTTATAATCTCTAATTTGAACTCTTATAACCCAAAGAAGAGCTCTTCTTTCTTTTTTTAAGAAAGCAATAACATTATAATTTCTTTGACACTATGGAAAATTGTTTTAACTTTCCTTGTTTTTGGAGGGTAAATCTATTTACGATCCATTTTCTTCATCTGTCTTTTGTTATGTTCTTAACGTATTTATGCTCGAGTCCCATGTTAACTCTTGTCCTAATGTTATTTATCCTTAAACAGAGCCATGTATTTGTTCAAGAATGAATAGGATTCACAAAGGGAGAGAACTAGGGTAATCTGTAGCTTCAAATTTGTTTTCTTGAACATCCACTCACCAAGTCTGTTATTTTTCTTGACCTGAAGTGTGTGTTCTCTTGGTTTGCGGGTGGCAGCTTGCTGTGACTTGCAGAGAAGCCCTGTTACATGATAGGCTCCCTGAGTTCTAATCTAGCAAACCCCCTCCCCACATACACACATACAAACTGGCTGGCTCACAGGAAATGAGGAGACCACGTCACCCTCAGCTCCATTCCTCCCAGTCGCTTCACCATGTGGATCTTGAATGGGGTCTTTACAGGGGCATCTCCACTTCTCTCACGGCTCGCCCACATCCTTAGATCTTGTTTCTTTGATTAACGACTATTGGATACACTCTTCTGAATGAAGAGACCCAGTTTTAGTGAAATTTGTTTCTTGCTCAAGGTTCTGAGGAAGTGTCTGCTCTCACATTATCCCTTGTTTTCATCTATATTTCATAGAATCTGGCAGATTGACTAGACTCTTTTGGTTGCAATATTCCAAGTGACAAAAACGTAATCTAAGTACCACAAGCTGTCCCTGTCAAAAAAAATAAACAAATAAAGGAAAGAAGAAAGAAAGGAAGAAAGAGAAGGAAGAAAGGAAGGAAGGAAGGAAGGTAGGAAGGAAGGAAAGAAGGAGGGAGGGAGGGAAGGAGGGAGGGAAGGAAAGATGGACAAAGAAAGGAAGGAAGAACAGAGAGAGAGAAAGAAAAAGGACCATATTGGCTCACAAAACAGAGCAGTCTACAATGTGGACACTGTGGCCTCAGGCACAGCTGGATCTAGGGGTTTATATATCATCCTCAATCTTGGTCACTATCTCCATTCTTTGTCTCTGCTGTTTATACACCACTTTCCTCTCAGAGTCACCCTCCAAAAGGCAATGAAATGGCCACTGTTGGCTCTAAGACCATATGATCTTTATAGCTTGTAAACTTGGAGAAAGAGCACTTTCCCCAAAGGCTTTGGCAAAAGTCCCAGGAAGGAATTCAACTGGCCTGGCTTGGATCCTATTCCCACCTCTGAACCAACTGCCATGGCTGGTAGGTTGGAGAACTCTGATTAGCCAGCCCTGGGTCACATAACCACCTCTGGGAAGGGGGTTAGGGAAGACAGGGTCAGCCCTTCTCCAGACAAGGACTGAGCAGGATTTATTATACAATGTGAGACGGCTCACTCTCCAAAGGCAAGTACGCTAAATAGACAAAAAAAATCAAGTGCATTCTGCAGTGTAAAGTTTGCTTCATGTTCTGTAGTTTGGGATTGGAACCATTCTCTTATTTCATTGATGACATTTATTTCTCTGTTTTTCATTCTTTGTTGCTTTCATTAGGTTTCTGCAGAATGCCTTTGCTTTGCCATCTTTAACCAGAAGCCCTCTTTTCTTATTTTTGATTCCAACAATACTAGTGGTACTTGATAGTTTACAAATAAGGCTTTCAAACCTGATTAATCATTCCACAACCTGCAATGAGGTCTGGGAGGAGATGGGAGTGAAGGAGCACAGTTATTTCCATTTTACAGATTAGAAAACTGAGCCCTTGAATGTGTTAAGAGACTTGTCAAAGAGCATACAGCTAAATCAAGTGGCTGAGAGAGAACCCAACCCAAATCCAGGGATTCCAGCTCCCAGCAAAGAGTTCTTGATTCCACACCTGACTGCTCTTGGGCTTTCCTCCTAAAGGTCACATTTCCAAACCACGATAATTTGAACAATATTTACACAGAAAGCCTTAAAAGTTTTTTAAGCAGATGTATAAAGGAATTCATCAGATTGAACCACTGGATGGATGGATAGATGGAGACATACACATATATATATTTTAATGGAAGCTTTATTATTTTCAATCCATATGGCAACACAAAGTAAGAGAAAATGGAGTGTTGCTAAGGGGCAGGCCTGCCAAACCTTAAATGAATCCTTAAACTGACATACAGAAACTGTCGTAATTGGTACACTGTTTGAAGATGATAGTTTGATAAGTGCTTGAGAGTGTGTTCCCTTTTGGAAAGTTAAATAGTTCCCCAAGATCTTGTTTGCAATGATACCTTGCTTAGCAAATCCTTTTTCCATCACAACCAGTATAAAGTTAAACTCTAGTCCATCCCATGTCTGAGTCATCCATATTCTAAATTAAGGGGGTACAAATCAATGCTGTTCTGCTGAAATAAACTGCTCCTTTCTCTCCCAGTCTGAGGAGCACTCAGCATGAAGGTAGCTGCTCCCACACTAGACAAGCAGGCAGGGACCCTCCATGGAGAGTGTGACCTTACTTCTCTCCCCTTTACACCATCTGCTCACGCTCCTTCTCAACCCACTGTCATCTCATGCCTCTTCCTTTTCTAGTTTTGCATTCCCTTCCCTCCCTTCTTCTCCCATTCCAGCTCACTGACAAGAGTCTTCATTTTCCACTTTATGGTCTAAAGATGAAAACACGTTAATTGAGGGTAGGGCTTTAGCATCAAATCTGGGAATACTCCACGGCATGGCGAAGATCATTTCTTGGAATTATTCACTTAAATGTTTACCAGAAACAATTATCAAGTGTCCCAGATTGAGTCACAAATGTAATTAATGAAAGAATTGCTAATAGTTTCCATTTTCTGGTTTGTTTTAATCCTACTGAATAAACTTTTATTTGGCACCATTTCAACAAAATCCCATCCAATGATTAAAGGAGGTAAAGATTCATAAAGCGAAAACGTTATTGGAAGTTAAACTTGCCAGGGTGTATTGCAAACCCAACTCAGACACAATCATTATACGATGCAAAAGCCATCCTAACAAAACACAAAGAAAACAATTAGCACTGCCGCCAACGCCTCATAATTTTGGACGGTCAGGAAGAAGTGCTTCCAGTCCGTAATTGATTTCTCCTTCGCTGTTTGTGGGAGAAAATATGTAACTGAAAATGCCTTTGCTGTCCCAGACTGAGGAAAACATAATGAACTCTGGCTTGCCAGATTATTCTGCAACATCTGAGGGCTTGCAAAAAAAATAAAATAAAACAGCTCTTGTCTGGTTTTTCCTAGTCAACTTTAATTACTATAAGGATGGGTGCAGCAAGATAAATGTTTCCTTTTCACTTCAGTGCTGAAAGAAAACACAAGTTCTCCTGCTGTCTTTTATGTGTAAGCTCTGAGGTTTGCAGCCTATTCTTATTCACCAACTGGAAAAGATTTGTCGCAATGGCCGGTTTGATGTTTTGTGCTCAACTCCCAAAGTCCCAATTTGAAGTCGTTCTCTTCCACTTAAGGAGACGTTTCGTTTTTCCTTTAATTTAAAAAATGTTCTGAATGCAAAGTGACATTACAAGGACTACTAGGTTGCCTAATATAAATTCCGCGTGTGCACAACTCTTCAGGCAGTATCAGCAGACAAGTTCAGTGCAGCTAAACTAACCAGCTGCCAAGCAGCCAGTTTGGGGAAAAGTTTTAAGCACGTTACATGTGAACAAGCCAAGTCAGACCCAAAATCTAAAGTGAGGGCAACGAGCACTTGGTCTTAAAATGGCCCATGGAATTTAATCTTGTTAAGCAAATTCGAACTGGGCACTTGTCCATAGTGACTCAATGGAAAGTTGTAGAAAAATGTCTTTAACTGAGTGACCCTGTCCAGTCCAAGACCTTCTGCCCATCTTAGCGTCGTAACTGGCTGGGACTGGCAACAGAGCCTACTCTACCCACACTATCCTCCAACCCGGCCCCTAATTATCAAGGCTTCTTTAGGAAAACATCAGGGTAAGAATTCACATGGTTCATACAGTGAACATTTCTCCACCAATCCTTAATATGGTAGAAAAATTCCTTCTCATTTTTCTAGGGGAAGCTCTAGAAAGCCCTATCTAGGAACATGGTATGAAATAAAGTAATTACCAATCGTTCATTTTATGAGGGACTGGTAGGATAGCAGAAATGCATAGGACTCTCCTGTTTTAACTATTAGTTCACAAAATAAATATTTTAATACAAGTCTCTCCTGGAGAAAAAAATAAATTAAGTGTCCACTCTTTTGTGCAGTGAACAACAGTGAACTAACCCAAAGGGAGGTCACGAGGGATTCTAGGCCGGGCAAGAATCCCAAGTAACACACAAACAGAAGGATCAGTCATCACTCAAGGGCTGCCTGGAACAGTTCAACTAAAGCAAAGACTTTATTCGGACAGTCCTGTCAAAGAAGCATTTTGGCAGGTATGAATAAATGTTTTCCTGAGGATTAAATAGGAAAAGGTGAAACCAACTCCATTCAACCATGAGAAGAAATCTTTCCTACTTATGCACCATTAACTTAAAATTTATTTACATAAAATGGAAAGTGCAAATCAATCATCTACATAAGATAGAGAACAAACTGGTAAATGACATGGTTATCTGGGCCAGAAAATTAAATAAAAAGAATACTGACCCTCCATTTCTGAGATGGGATGGCAAGGATGTTGTCCCTTTGAACATTTCTTGCTCCTTGATTTCACTGAAGCCGCCATCATAAGTTAGCTGAAGTGGGTGACTCTTTAAGTGACCAATGGCATTTGATTCTGTTAAATAAATCCCATTTATTTTCACCACAGAGTTCCCCATCATAACTGTTTCTTTGGATTCCACTGTCTTCTTTGCTGTAATAACCAAAAGAAAAAAGCTTTTGTCAAAGCATTTTTAATTTTAGGAATCACTATCTTTCAATATTTTTTTCAATCTAAGAATTTATACAACTAAAAAAATATATACTACTTATAACCAAGCCTGGAATTATATGGCCAACATCTCCCTGAACATATACAAGAGCTCACCACATTTCAGGCTTGGCATCATCAATTCGGCAGGTAAAAATTAACAGGTTCTTATCCCTACTAGCTTAGTGTCCACCTGAAGGCTAACACTCAAATTTAGGTTTATGAACTACCTAAGACCACATAAATACTTCTGTGTCCCATAACAATAACTCCTCTTCCTAAATTTGATGCTGTTAGTAACTTTTCATTCAAAAAATATTTATGGAGTGCTTCCCTGATGTCAGGCACTGTCCTGGACACTTGGGATGCATCAGTGACAAAACAAAGATCCCTGACCTCATAGGGTTTACATTCTAAGAGGTGTAAAGAGACAGTAAGTAATGCACCATAATAAATAAAGTATATAAGATAATAAGAGCTATGGAAAAAAGCAAAGTAGAAAAGTGGAGAAGGGTAAAGGGGATTGGGAATGGGGGCAGGCAGCAATTTTGAACACGGTAGGTATGGTAGGCAGACCCTTAACAGAGATGAGGCATCTGGTCATCAGATGATGGGGGACAGTATTTCCAGCAGAGGGAACAGCAGGTGTGGAGGCCCTAAGGCAGGATTGTGCCTGGCGTGCCCCAGGAACAGCAGGAGTGGAGTGTGCGAGGGGGAGAATAGGAGGAGGGGTGACCAGAGGGGCAGGGGCAAGATCGTGGAGGCCTAGCAGATCACTACTAGGGCCAGAAAGAGGAGGGCACTGCAACCCCTATAAGGCTTTCTGAAGAGGAATAAGATAGAGTTGCAAAAAGATGTCCAGTCTCTGAACTGAAGCATCTATTGTGTTGACGGACTGCAGGTTCTTAGACTTCTAATGCAACACTGTTTCTTTATTAGCAAATTGACATTAGGAATAGCTCATCCACAATGCTGCTGCTGCACTCTAGTCAAAGGGGAAGGGTGGACGAGCTTCATATAGAAAAATACTGCAATATTTTCCAAAATGACTCAAGGTTTCCTTTTCTGCACTTCAACCAACAAACCAATAAAAACCAACAATAACAAAACCACCTAGTCTACCCCTCTGATCAAGCTCCTTGCTTTCAAAACACTGAATTTTATAGCTGAAAGGAGCCTTGGAGATTGGCTAGTCTAACCTTCAGTTTTCAGATGAGAAAACTGAGAACCCAAAATGTTAAGTGACAGGTCTAAAGCCACAGAGCAAGTGTGGGGAGAAGAAGGACTATATGGGTGGGAAGAGCACAGGCTTTGCATTCCATTAGACTTGGGGTCAACTACAGGCTCCCAACACACCAGGTGCATGACATGGGCAGGTTGTTCAGCTTTTCTCACCTTTCTCAGTGGTCCCCACCTCTGGAGGATGTGGTGAGAATGAAATGATATGGCCTTGTAAAGTGACTTATATGGTGCTAGCACACTCAAAACCTAGAAGTTATTGTCATTATTATTAATGAGACCCAAGAAACCTGACTTCTGCTCCAGGGCTCCCTCCATAGCACCACGCTACCTTAAATAACTTTACTACTGAATTACAAAGCACATAGTTTGTTTTAGATTTCAAAGCATTTTCAGCCTATCCCTGTTTTATCATTCCTTTCTTTCCTTCATGCATCCACAAATATTTATGAAGCACCCACTGCTATGTGCCAGGTGCTGTGCAAGGTGGTGCAGAGGTGAATGAGACGTCCCAGCCATCATGGAGCTTCTGTTCTAGAGGGGAAACACGCTCATACTTGTGGGTGGAGGAGCTGCATCCCCTCTATCTTCACAAGTGACCTGAGCGAGCTTGTCAGTGATTACTACAGCGAAGGCCTGCCCTGGGGCTCACTCTTACTCCTGGTGGAGGTCCACCATTAAACCGAGCATGTGTAATGATGCTCTGTGTCTCCCTGGCAAATATTTGCTGCACACTGTACTAATTTTGTAATGGATCACGGGTAAACTTCAAAAGGATCCTGCAACCAGCAGCATTTCTGAGCAGGAACAGCTCTGTTTCACAGATATTTCTTTGGCACCTACTATATACTAGACCCTGTTTTAGGCTCAGTAGGGAAACCTCTTTTCCTACTGAGGTTGCTCAGTCTAGAGGAGAGACAGAGAGGCAGACGTGTAAAGACATCAATGCAGTACAGTGCGATTTGAGCCAGGTAAGGAGGAGTATAGAGAGTGGGAGAGTCCTGAGGGGTTGGGAGTGAGTCAAGGAAAGATTCACAGAGGAGGTGGAGCCTGAGAAGCATTTTGAAGGGTTAATGGGAGGCAAAAAGCAGTTCTGAGAAAAAGGAACAAAAGCCTGCAGTCAGAGCCAGCTTCATGTGTGTAGGAGCTGTACAGCCAGGCAGGGCCGTGGCCACACTTAGAAGGGCTCTGCACTTGGTTTAATGCTCTGCTGTTGCCATCTTGAAATTCTGAATAATTTTTTTTTTTTGGTGAGGAAGATCAGTCCTGAGCTAACATCTATGCCAATCTTCCTCTTTTTGCTGAGAAAGACTGGCCTTGAGCTAACATCCATGCCAATCATCCTCCACTTTATATGGGATGCCGTCTCGTCACAGCATGACCTGACAAGTGGTGCGTGGGTACGTGCCCAGGATCTGAACCCGGGCTACCAGCAGTGGAGCCAGTGGAGTGCGCGCACTTAACTGCTATACCACGGGTCGGCCCCCTTGAAATTCTGAATAATTTTTTAACAAAGAGCTCTACATTTTCATTATGCACTGAGCCCAGAGGATCCTGCACAAGGCTTGAAACAGCAGGATGGGTGTGGGTAACTGCAAGGAGTTCCATATTGCTGGTGCACAGACTAGGGATGGAGAATGGGGGATAAGCAAAGGAGAGTCAAGAGAAGGGCCTGGAATGTCAGGCTGGGGCCAGATCACAGCAGAGCTGGGCATGCTGAGGAGCAGGGACTTCATCCCCTAGGCCAGGGGTCAGCAAACTGCAGCCCCACCAGATCTGGCCTGCCTCCTACTTTTGTACAGCCTTTAAGCTAAGAATGATTTTTATATTTTTAAATGGTTAGAAAAAAATCAAAAGAAGAACATTATTTTGTAATGTGAAAATTATATGAAATTCAAATTTCAGTGCCCCTAAATCACTCTATAGTTGCTTTCCCACTACAGTGGCAGAGCTGAGTAGGTTGAACTCAGACTGTGTGCCCCACAAGGTCTAAAATATTTACTCTCTGGCCCTTTACAGAAAAAGTCTGCCAACTTCTGTGCTAGGTCAGTGTTTCCCGAACTGTGTTTCCCAAAAGACAGATTCCACAGCCAAGTAGATTTGTGAAATGCTGGATTGAATTAAAATTAAACAGGTGTCTTCACCAGATGGCTTTACCAACCCTTGAATATGCTCACGGACACTGTGACTCCAAGAGGGAGAGGAAGTAGGCAGATATCCGAGCACTGAGCCCTTTTTCCAAGGAAAGGCTATTAATATTCGCCATAAGTGTTCCCTGGAACTCAGTTTGGCAAACACTCCTTTAAGTCCAGGGGACCTCTGAAGGGTTTTCAGCAAGAAGATGACGCAATCTGATTTTTATTTGCTTCCTGACCTCTTGTCCCTCATGGCACACACAGAAAGTGATTATTTTTCACGGTCTGCTGGGATGAAGGGATAAGGGCACTGCTCACATTCATGTCTGGTTGGGAGCTCAGCTGCCCCAGGCTCTGCTGGCTGCTCCAAGGGCTGAGGGTTGGACCCACCTGCAGGTTGACCCACCTGCAGCGCCCTGGTGAGCTGAGGGGGAAGCAAGACACGAGGGCTGGAAGAGCAGGGACAAGAGGTGGTAAAGGCGGTATGGCAGTGGTGGGAAAGGAGAATGCAGACCCAAGAGATATTAAGGAAGCCCGTGGAGGGCTCTGTGATGGCAAGGATGACAGGGATTGGTGAGAAGGTGGAGAGTGCGCTGAGGTCTCTGTCTGGCTTGAATAACTGGGGAGGCGTTGGCAACATTGTCACCTCCAGCCCAAAACCCTATATGAACGCACAGCAATTAAACTGCTGGCCTTATGGAGATGACTACACACATCTCTTCCCCTTTCATTTTCTTAAATCAAGAATGCCAAACCCGCCGCCACACCCCAGCCCTGCCTGTGGCGGTGTCAGCTACAAATGACTTCACACCAGAGGGAGGGACGCACCCTCTGTCTCCATGCACAGTTGACTTTACAGCCTCAGTTCCCAACAAAGGATACCTTTTCCAAACAATAGAGACTCTGAAACGAAGCCCAGAGAGCTCCTGTACAAATGACAAAGATTCCGAGGCTGGAGTGCTAAAATATTTTTTTAAATTGAGTGATGTGAGCTTTTAAAATGACAATGGCTTTTCCCTGCCATTATTTCCCGTGTGTGGACACAGACCTCAGGGATGATGAGGATGGTGACATGGGGCAACTGCAAACAGGGAGGATAAAAGAACTACAACAAAGACAAGCTGCCGAGCCACTTGGAGGCGTGAAGGTGGCCTCAGTGCTGGGAAATGACAGCCACAGACGGCACCTCCCAGAGCACAGCTGAGGCGTGTGGCCACACAAACCAGGTCCAGGCGGCCCAGGAGGAAAAGAGCTAAGCCAAGAGGGAAGCACAGATGAGCATGGTAGGCGAAACACCAGTCTCTTCAGTCACCTTCACACACATGGGAACAGCTCAGCAAGCTGCAGGGGTGTCAAATGTGAGCTACCAAGAGGTAAATGCATTAAACACAGATACAGCCTACAGGCTCGGGGGAAAAACGTCTACTAGACAACAGTGTAGTAACCCTCACACCAGCTCTGCCATCCCTGCTGATAGGAAGTGATCATGTTCCTGTCTGATCTCACCCCCCACCTTGGGCTGGATCCCAGCCACTCTCATCTTTGCAAGGACTTTGCTCCTGCAGTTACCAATCCTTTCTGATTTTACTGGTCTGACTGGGGCCCCGTGGTGGAGCGTTTGAAAAGTTCCTCAGGAGATTCTAATGTGCAGCTACAGTTGAGAACTGCTGTTTGGGAAAATACCTAAGTCAGATGATGTCTCTCCCTTGCTTAAACCCTGCCCTGGCTTCTCACTGCACGCAGAATCAAGGCCGGGCCATTTCCCGGGGCCCAGTCCTAAATGGCCCTGTGGCCTCAGCTCCCTCCACCTTCCCCGGGGTTAACCACCCTCCAGCCACCCTGCCCTGCAGGTCCTCCATCCAAGCTTGCTCCCACCTCTGGCCTTGCCGTCCCCTCAGCGTGGCCGCTTTGTCCACAGATTTCTGCATGGCTGCCTTCCTCTCATTATTCACACTTCAACTCAGATGCCACCTCCTCCAGGACACCCTCCAAAGCCACCTGAGCTAATGCAAATTCCTCCTGCCACTGTCACTCCCCATCCCATCATCTTGCTTCCCTTCTTCACGGCACTTGTAAGAACTTCAATTCTCTTGTTTCTTTGTTTTCCTGTTTATTGTCTATCTCCCTTCACAAACTCTTTGAGGGCAGGACTCAGTTGCCTAGAAGAGCACCTGGCATTTGGTAGGGCTCAACATCCGACTGACCGGCTGTTAGAAAAGAAACAGATGGGACACGGAGACAAAGCAAGTTGCCTAACTACATACTCCATTATGGCATCACGGTGTGACACGCACACCCTGCACTGCTTCTCTGTCTTTTCCTTTCCCCTTGATTCTACCTCCAGCTACGTCAGCAATCACTAACTCCAAAGCCCACAGGAACCAGACAGGAAAATGAGTGAAGCGGGCTGGGAGATATGGGGAACTGAGACCATATCCCCAGCTAACAGGGTGGGTACTACTCAGATCCAATCATTCCCCAACTGGGCTACACAGGATGGGGGCCCACTGTGGCCAGATCTTCCAGTTTTTCACAAGAAGTCATCAATCTGGATTCTTCCATGAGATCTTCTACATTTAAATGCTGGTGACTAATTAATAGAAAATGCTTGTATGTCAAACAAGAAGGACCCTCAGCAGGCAGCTTGTAACCTTTGGGATCCATCTTCAGCTTATCTCCTCTCCCTGGCTGTAAACCTGTCCCTCTTCATCAATCCTCATCGACTGACGGACGGCCAGTTCTGTCAGCCCCTGGTCAAGTGGTTTTCCAACTTTTCTGACTACATATAGTAAGTTTATAATATTATGTAATATCAATATAACATATAATAAATTTATGATATGACCCTGAACACACATGTACACGACTGAAGTAAAGTCTCTTGAAGCAATACTTACCCTTACTGTCTGCAATGTACCCTGATATTTTTCATTCTATTCTATTCTACTTCATTTTTTTTAAATGCTGGTGTGCTCCACGGAGTTGACTGTCACCTCACTAATGGGATATTTCCTGAAGTTTGAAAAACTCTTAGTATGCCCTGGACAGGGGGTGATTCCAATTGCTGGGGGGCATCCCTTAGAATTCGAGGTTTTTAGCCTCTCTATTAGATACCTATTAGATACCTATTTAAATACCTGCCAGCAATTCTGCAGCAGCAGGAAAAGCCCCATTCCACTTTTCTTACATATTCACCTGGGATCAGAAAGGTATTTTCAAAGACCTAAGCTCACTGGACATTAAACATGCCTAATGAAATGAATAACTTTTTGAACCCTAATGAAAAAATCATGTATTTCCAATATATGTGAACCCAGTTATTAGGAAACACTTATTCCAACAGCCTTTTCCTACCATGTAACATGTTTTAAAAACTGTAATATTTAGGCATGCTTTATAAACACCGAGAAAAAATATATGAACAATGTTTCTTAACTAGCTTTTGCACTATACTAAGTCTTAATATAAAACCACGTGGGGCTAAGAAAAATCATATAAAATCACACGTAGCTTTTGTGTGCAAATTTAAGACACATGCCTGCCCCAGGTTTTAAAGGATGTTACGCTGCCTTACACTCAGCTGGAGGATGGGTTCTGTCCGGCAGAAGAGCTCCCTGGGAGGCGGCCCTGAACAAGCGCGCCCGAGCACTGCTTATTCTTCGAATCTTCGCGGGGTCCACCGGGGGTTTAGGAAAGGAAGGGCAGGGATCCTCCTCTGTGGCAGCAGATGTCGGAGCTTTCGGTTTCTGGAAAGAGATGTTTTAAATGATTGGCCTGAGTTTCTGTGTGAGTCTCTCAAAGTGAGTCTCTCAAATAAGTCTCACCACCCTGGAGCTGGCCATGACACTTCCAGGAGAGCCCGGGGCTTCCCGTTGGCTTCATCCCGGCTCCTTCCTGGTTCTACCTCTCACTGGCCCATCTTACTTAACGTGTTGTATATAACACTTCTAAATTGTTTTCGTCAATTGTATTGTATTAAACACTCTGCTGTCTTGCTTAGTGTTTTTGCAAGAAATAGTTTACCCACGCTAGCAAACAGATATTACCTGTATAAGAGTAAAATCAGGTATAGTGTATTCAACATCCTTTGCAAATTTTTATATTCAATTCAGCTCAGAAAATATTTATTGGGCACCTATACGTGCCAAGAACTATGTAGAATTACCTTTACATATCTTGGACTCCACAAAAGTATTTTTATTAATGTTATAATTTTTTTTCTAATAATTTAGATTAAAAAGTCACAAAATATGAGTGCAAGAAGTCTTGGACTTATGACATAAAAATGTTTTATTTTTTACATCTCAAAAAGTCTATGCTGATACCCTTTAGAAAAGGAACATTGCTGACAAAATTTCCATTCCTTAAAGACTTTTTAAAATACCTGCACCAAGCACTGTGCTACCCAGAGCTCCCTCTGGTCGAACTTCCAGATGGCAGTGACCTCTCACCACCAGGGCCAGAACCTCCCAGGGGCCTCAGCTCCCACTCTTAGTGTTGTCTGGTGGTCCTTCCCTTCCTCCCTCCAACTTTAGCAGAACTATTTGCCTATGAAAGAGCAATCTTATGGCAGCAAGTGCTTTTAGCTCTATAACCAAAAATAGAGTTAAAGTTCCTACAGTCACTTCCCAAATACGTGAAATGAGTGACTCTCAATCCAATAAGTTAATTAACAAAACTTTTAAAAGTCTAGTGTTTAATTCAAGTCAGATAATTTGGAAAAATAGGTGAGGTCATCTATCATATATGACACCCAATTTCAAACACTCATTTTCTCAAATACATTAACAGATTAACAGAACACAGACATCTATTTTAGAGTTCTCCTTCCAAGAAGTTGCTTATTTCAATAATGACGACATTCTTCAAAATATTTTTTAATATCCTCTTGTTCATTTGCATTCAGAATTGGTTCATAAACCAGAAAAAAAAATTTATTTTTATGACTTTAGAGACACATTTTTATAAATACAGTTAAAAAAATGGGTAAATCAAATAATCAGCACAGTATAGAGGAAAAGTAAATGACTTTGGGATCAAACTGATCTGGAGTGGAATCCACTTACTAGTTACGTGAACTTGGACAGGACATTTGCTTCTCTGAACTTGCCCAGCTAGCAGATGGAGACAGTAGTGCCCCTCTTACAGGGAAATTGATACATATACAATTCCTGTTATGGAGAGTCAAGAAATGCTGGCTCCCCTCCCTATGTAAGCTGCTCATCCTTTATTTACCAGACTTGGTTCCAAGTTACTTTTAAGTCTTCTCAAGAGCCAAGGCCCTAGCCTCTGACATAACTTTGTTGGAATCAAGATCCTGGATTTGGAGGGGTCTATTCTGAAGGAGACAACACTCATTTGTCTGTATATATTGCACTCTATTTGTTTAATAAATAGTCAATTTGCTCCTCAATTTGTTGCAAAATAGTCATAAGAATGTGACTTAGGCCATGAAGCTGATAGTAACAAAAAAGCTAAGAGCAGAGTTAATACAGGAAAATAAGTGCTTTAGATATAATTATGAAAGATGAAATACATAAGGACAATCAATATTGCATGTAGATATGAGGTTTTCTTATCTCAAAATGTCTGTACTCTGCAGGTACCTTGAATCTGAAATATAGATCGAGAAGTCTGCCAAATAATAACAATGCAGATAAGGTAAATGGTTTCTTTTACAGATGCCTTAACTGCTATAAATGTTTTTGGAACTAAATAAAAGATCTTATAAAAAGGGAAAATATGGTTTTGCAAAGCTAATTTTTACCCCAAAGAGAGAAACTGAATTATGTCTGGATGGCAAGATAAAGCCCTTTCACTGCTACATGATAAAAGGCATTATTTTCCTAGTGCAAAATTAGTAATTGTTTGTATAATGAAAAATTAGTTCCTTTTTTCTACTGACCTTTACTAAATTATTTATCCCACTTAAACATATATCTCACTACGTAAAATATAAAGCGATACATGTAAGAGCATCTTTAATTCTTCAAAGGAAAACTACTAAATGAGCCATCAGTTTCTATCATGCCAGGTTCTACAAAATGTTCCTCCACTTTGTGGAGTGAAATGGCTTTTATGAGGCAGAACAGTAAAATTTTTTTCCTATAAAATTCACTTCATTTTAGAATTCAGAGACTGTTGCAAGTAAGTTTCAATCTTGACTTGAGAACCTCACTTCCCTCCCACTTTGTGTCATGACACTAACCAGTGACCGGAGTATAATCAAGGACACTGGGAAAGTCAGATCTTCAGACTTGTTCTGGTTGATTAAACTGTGCGAGTCCATTGAAGAGTGAAAGACTATTTTCACAGAACAACCCAATTAAAGAAGACAAAATTCCTAGAACATTTAAGGGATCTGGCTGGGCTTGACTTGCATCCCAGCACCGTGGGCCTTGACCGGTTTCTGACACGTCTCCTCTGGGTCACTAGATGGGAAGGCAGGGTCTCCCCCATTCTACATGAAGACTGGAAAAGGAGTCCATGACATCCCACCTCAGAAAGTTGCTGTGATTTAATTTGTAAAGCAACACAACACACACACACACACACACACACACACACACACACACACACAGACCTCTTAGAAGTCAGAGAGCAAATATTAAAAATTCCCCCAAGCACATAACCTTTGGATGTGGCAATTGTATGTGCATTTCTATTACTATGATTTTCTCCCCAGGTTCTCTGGGCTCCTCTGTCCCTCTCAGCATGTGACTCACTGCTGTAATGTTACCATTCGTTTCAGAAATAGCGAAAGAAAAAACACTGCTTTGACATTCTCACTCTACTCTTTCTTACCCTGGATCTACCCCACCCCTAAGGTATATATGGGCTTCTAAGTCCCTTTCTTTTTAATATATATTAAATTTTGCATTACGTGTCAAATACTGAGAGCTTAGTTCCTATAAAATATAAAAAACCGCTCAAACTAATCTACGCTGTGAGAAGTCAAGACAGTCATCACCCTCGGGAGGTGGTTTCTGGGGTGCTGGTAATTATCTACCTCTTCTATTTGAATGCTGGTTACTGAGTGTGTTGAGTGTAAATTTATTAAGCTGCACTCTTATGATCTGTATCTTTTCTGTGTGTCAATAAAAAGTTTAATAAAAATACTTGGAGCTTAAATAACTAGGCTTTGTAAGTTTAGGAAACACAGGGAGAATTCTGTTTTGACAATGATAATGATGAAACACAAAACTTCCCATTTATTCACATGGTCATATCTCTTTTCCTACTTTATACAACCCAAAGTATGAGAGCAGCTGCTCCTGTGTACATAAATCTGGACAGCAGCTAACCAGAGGACAGAATGGTAATAGGAATAACCACCGCCCAACAGCCGCACGTGTCAGAGCTGTCATGGGAAGGTGAGGAGCTGCTAAGAAAGAAAAGAGGTATTCCCGGGCATACCTATACAGCAGATAGATATAAATGTTAATGGAAGACTGCAAACTACAGTGCTTTCCCCACTGTCTTATAAGACTACAAGTGCTAAGGGGAACCCTGGTGAGCCAGTCAGGCCAGCCGGCCAAGGCCTGAGTGGTCAGGACCAGGAGCATCAGTTTTCCCATCATTCTCTGAGGCCCAGGGCTTTCCTGAGTGCTTTCCACTGCCTGCTGGAGGGTGTAGGGGAGCACAGGCCGGATATGGGGGGAGAAAAAGAGAGGATGGTAAACGTACAAGCAAAAGAGTAAAGCAGATTTGTTAAATGTGGGAGCTAGAATGGGCTGCTCTCTGGGGCCTTCTTCCCTGACTGAGCGCTGGTTGAGGAATTTTTTTCTTTTTGCGCCCCCACCCCCAACAACCACCAATCTGTTCTCTGTATCTACGAATTCAGTTGTTTTTTTTTTCAGATTTCACATATAAGTGAGATCACATAGTATTCGTACGTATGTATGTATCTGACTTATTTCACAAGCATAATGCCCTCAGGGTCCATCCATGTTGTCACAAATGGCAGGATTTCCTTCTTTTTAATGGCTGAATAATATTCTATTGTATATACACCACATTTTCTTTATCCACTCATCCGTTGATGGACACTCAGGTTGTTTCCATGTCTTTGCTATTGTAAATAATGCTGCAATGAACGTGGGGGTGTAGATATCCTCTCGAGTTAGTGTTTTCATTTGCTTTGAATAACTACCCAGAAGTGGAGTTGCTGGAAGAGGAATTATTAAAAGGCCAACTAACCTGAGAAAGTGTCCTAGATCCAACAAGTGCTGAAATTCAATTGGTTAGGTCTTCACAAATTCTTTCATCAAGTGTATCCCATAACTATGAGATACCTCACCCCCACCCTCCAGTCATCTCCTTTATCCTGCTGCCTCTCCCTTCACTCTTATTTCCCCTTATCTCTTCCCTTTCACAACTTAGTGGTGACCAGAGACAAAGCGTTCTTTAAAAGGTGAAGTGGAAAGGAGGAAAGAAGGTGGAAGGGCAGGTAGTGTGAGGCCACTTGCAGAATTTTTTGACTGGGAGCTCCAATTTTAATTATTGTTTAAAATGAAATATACTTAAGATCCTTACATAATCCACTATAACAAAAAAATTTCAAATTTTTTTGAAATTCAAAGGAGTTATTTTACTTAACATGGGGATTGCTCAGCCTACTTTTACTTTGCACATAGCACCCAACCATCTACAGTAAAGAAATTTAATTGCAATGACCCTAAACAGAGGCAACTGCCAACATTATCTTTGCCTAACACCTAATCCTGCAGTCCAAGAATTCTACCAG